TAGACAACATATCCAAAATTGTTCTCCCCCCTTCTTCCAAATACATACATTAACTTAGTTGCTCACCTGGGTAATAAATTATAACTACAATGTCTTTGTGGACAGTGCCAGAGAGCAAGCTCTGATCCCTGGATGCAGTGGTGTAGACTAGCACCCATGTGTGCTTTTTGGAGTGAAGAGCTTTTGGAGATCACCTTCTGGACAGGACTGGTCACATCCACACTACAGTACTTGACCCCAGTCTCTTGTGGGCTGCATGTGACATTCCTCTGGCCTTAGGACTTAAAAGATATAAAACTAGTTTATTTTTAATTCAACACATCCAAAATAACGATCAGTGCAATGCATCTCATGAAAGAATTGTTCATGCTGATGTCGTATGTTTAAAGTTTTGGGACACAGCATGAGGGCACGTAGCATGCAAAACCTGCTGATGCAGTGTTGGAGACCAGTCCTGATTAGTAGGAAGTTAGTATGGTCTACACCCTTACTATCTGGCCAAACTCCAGTATTATACAGACATGTCCTCTCCAGAAGAGGAAGGACACACAACTGTTTCTCTCCAAGAAGGAATAAGTAAATCAACTAACACATACACAGTACGGCTCATTGTTGTCACAGCACCCAAAGAACAATAACAAAAACAGAGAAAAGGGGAGGGAGTGAATAACTATATCTCTCAGTGTAGACGAACCACATAATTACTGTGCATAATTACGGGGGGGGGGGGGGGAAACAAACATTTGTCTACTTTCATTAAGGACTGTGTGTCAAAGTGTATCACTGTTGAAGTTTGTTCCTATTCCTGGGGTTTTTTGTGTGTCTTGAAACTGAATGAATCTACAGAGCACTGAACGAATATATAAAGTAATGGACAATCCTGCCATCATGTAACAGCAAACAACTGGAGAATACTTTTATTTAAATGTAACTATCTATGAGAGATGTTTTTACTGTAATGAACCAGACCCTGTAGTTATAAACAACATTACTGTTTTACAGGAAGAAACATACAGTTATCTAAATTAGGATATGTGGGGTTTTTTTTAATCTGAGAGATAAAAAGGAGATATATTTAGTTAGAAAACTTCATGTTCAGCATATATTCTACCCATTACATCACATCAAAATTTGCTTACCTGAGTAGAAAAAGGTTTTTTTCCCCTATTATTCTTTACCATTTTTGCAACGACAGTTAGCTCCTACAATAGCCGTACCACTGACCTATATCAAATTCATACGGGTAGAGGAGAGAGACCAAAACTAGTTTTAACTCATTCACTTCACCTATTCTCAAAGGCAACAGACAACCGAGCACTCTGCTTGTTGCACCACAACCAGACACAGCATGTGCTTACCCAGCCAGAGAGGAAATGCTGAATGGAGGAAGGAAAGAGAAGGAGAAAGAGGGTTAGACTTCAGGAACTAGTGACAGAAGTCAGAGTATGTAAGAAAAGGTGAGTATATTAGGGAATGTGTTTATTCATTAGTGCAGAGTTATACAAATTGTATTTTATTTCCTCTTGGAATTATTATTGAACAGCCAATTTTCTGAAAGCATTCAACAACAGCACTCTTCCTAATCCAAATCCTAATGTTCTACAAGTAAAACATGATGAAAGTTCTAGGAAGCATTAGTTTGCCTAACAGGGAACGCAATTTCTATTTCAAGTTTTTATTTTATATATGCTGAGGTAGTCCATGGTATAAAGGCAGATTAGGAAGAGAACTCTGACAGATGAGAATTCTTGTTCCGAGGCAAATTCCTGCCTCCTTACCATTGCTACCACTCCAGTATCACTCCTTTCCAAGTTGTTTAACTAATAAGAAAAATATTACAGAGCACAGCCACATACATGATATTGATAACCCAATAACTGAAATGTTCCTTTACGTTATTTTGTCTCATGAGCAGTAGTTTATTTCAAAGGTACACCTTAGCTACTATTCATGAAGATTTTATTTTTCCCCAACCAACTGGCAAAATTAGTTTTGTCCAGATAGATGAAAGCCCATAAATGCAAAAGAAAAAGGTAATTCTGTCTTTTTGATTATTACCTACCAGAAGTACACACAACAACAACAAAAAAAAAAAAAAAAGACATAACCAGCAGGTTATTTCAAAGACAAGCAGATGCTAGGTACACACAATGATACACCTGATACTGCATATGCAGTAACTTCTGCTGCTGCCTTCAAAATCCAGAATGGACTTGCATCCAATCTTACAGCATGTTTATATGTTCTTCATTGTACAAGATACTACATACAGCTCAAGTAAGGGTAAATAACATTAGACTAAAATTCAGTGCTGACTGTTGAAATGTTGGTATATTGGTCCATTCTATGATTAAAAAAGAAACATGAATATTCAGTATAAGCATTTTAACTGTTTCATTCTGATCAAGTTACCAATACCTCTTTCCTCATTCTTCAGCACACACACACTTTGAAGTTATAGCTCACTCATTTTCATTTCTTTAGAGTTTAGTTTCTTTTGTTAGTTTTTAAGATGATAACTGGTAATTAATAAAACATTAATGAATAAGCACTTTATATTTAAGCATACAAATAATATAGAGAAATCTGTGCACCTGCAGACAGCAGAGAGTAAACAAATTACACCTGTTTTTCTGCTTCTCCTTGTTTATTTCAAGTGCTGGAGGAAGAAAGTAGTCCAGACCAGAGACACACCCATGGAGTGTGGAAATCACAGAGAAAGAGTCTCTCCTCTGGCATGAAATTTTAACAGTCCTCTATAAAAAGAGAAGTAGATTGTGCTCTGCACTATAAAAGCATGGGAGAGAAAATTACTTGAAGTAAACTTCAACTTTCCTGCATTTAATATGCAGAAGTCACTGTATTGTTTTCAGTAAATACTGGCCTTCACACATACATGCATGGACTAAGATACACTAATTAGAAACTTAGTAAGATATTAGGGAACTTTCGGGTATGTGGATACCAAGTATCTCATTATTTAAAAACAAACAAATCCCAAACAAACAAATAAATTTGCAAAAGCTGAACATCCTTAGAAGAGAAAAATATTTTTAAAAGGCTAACTTTCACAACAAACATAGAAACGTGCTGTTTCCTTTATTCTGTTCTTGCTACATTTTCATTTTTCAGTTCTAGGGACTTAAGGGAGAAAAGTTTATGCCACAGAACTCTTTTCATAAGTATGAGAGACGGGGATTTGCATCTCCAACCAAAGGCATCTTCAGGGAAGGGAAGGTGCACAGGACCAGTTTAATCTCATTTGCTAAGCACTCCATTTCCATACCACAAACACTAGTGCTTAACTGAGCAATCCTTCCTGCTTCACAATGTAAGAAGTGTTTCAAATACTGGAACAAATTCTAGGGTTTTGTGATTCGAACATGTCAAAAGCAGCATAGCTATGCCACGAACACAGACACCAAACCAAAACCAAAGACAATACAGGAAAGAATTCATAACTCAAAATGCAGGCTCATATAGGGAGCATAAAACAAAGAACTGCTGGATCCCTCCACAGAACTGGGACACTGCAAGAGCAAATTCTGTTCAAAGGCTTGAAGCTCAATCAATTAGAGGGCAATAACATCAACAAACTTAGTTTAATCACCATTAGGCTCAGTTAATGCACTCTGCCTTCTGATTAGCTGCTGACATGGATCGAAAAGCAGGATCAAGTCCAGGGAAGTGAGTGGGCTCTCTGTATGTACAGCCAGCCACACAAATAAACTTCATTACAGAATTAGGGCATAGAGACTTCTGTGAAAAAAAACCCTAAAGTTGTATTTAGTTAGAAATACTGCACAGTTGTCAACTGTCAGGGTTGCATTTTCAGAACAGATTTGAGTTAAACTAGCTGCATTAGGTTGGGTTTATTTTTATTGCCTTCCCTGTAGTAATAACATTCAGATAGCAATGGAAGTTAAAATCTAATCTATTTATCAACATATACACTATTAGCTTGCACTCCACTTGATCCAAACAGATTAGCCAGTTTCACCCCCAAACCATTGGAGCATCACTACTACTTAAAAGTAAGAGGCCTCTCCTCTTGGCTTTACAGATTTTTTTATGGTATCACAGAAATGTTGTGTAATTACTGCATTATGGAGGTCTCATGCTGACGAGACCTATAGTCCTGATAAATGTTTTTAAACTTTCATAGTTTATTTTGTAACTTCAAAAGGGTATTTGTCCTCAAAGACCTTTTGTGTGGCTGAATTTAATAAAATGCTACTTTCAGTGTTTTACAAAACCTAGTTTTTAAGCAAAGTTCATTAATCTATCTGTTCTGTGAAAGACTGTAGACCTTTTGAAACTTCAACTTTTTTTTTTTTAAATTAAAACACATGCACTAAAACAAAAGCGCATGCCAAATAATATTAAAGTAAGCCTTCTTTAATGAGATCTTGCTGACCATGTATCAGCAGCACCACCATGTGTTAAGTGAACAAGACATTTATTGCTGAGGAGATTATTGGTATTGCAGAATATAATCAACCATTTACAATTTAAGTAAGTCATGTAAGCCTAAATAGTAACAATATTTTTACACCATATTGCCATGCCAAACTTGCAAAGCCTTTAACCTATCATACCATTTCAAGTAATATTAGAATTCTAAAGAGTTAAAAAAACCCACCTTATTATTTTTCCACTGCTAATGAAAGAGAAGAGAAATGAATATCCCTGGGAAGGACTAAATAAGATCTAATGTCAGATGTAGTGAATGGATACAGTATATCACCATGTACAATTCAAGAGGGAAAAAAAGGAAGGAAGGAAGAAAAGGCTTTGTTCACTAGTATGATACCAAGATTAGTATAAATAAATGCTTCAGAAATACTCTAAAACTAACTGTACTATTGCTTAGTGCTAAACTTACAGTAGTATTAGCGTACTTTATACTTATGTTTATACTGTACATAAATACTTCTTGAGATGTATTGAAGGTCAAAATTTACAAAATTTCAGATATTTAGGAGAACATTTAACATTACTTACACTAACACAGGTTTTCCTGATATCTTAGGGCTGTTTAAAACTTCTATCATGGCTTGCTTTGTTTCTTCCATTCTCGCAATGTCACTGGAATCCACAACAAATATTACACCGTAGGACTCAGCATAGTAATTTCTCCAGATATTTCGAATTCGTTTTCCACCTCCTAAATCAAAGATGGTGACTTCAAAGCGTCCCTGTTTCAGGTCAATCTTGGAAAACCCAACAGTTGGAGCCACATCTTCAGGAGACTCTGTCAGAGTTCAAAGAAGAAAGCCTTCAGTAAAAAGTGTCCTTAGTTATCTGAAGAGGATTTTACATTGTGATTTGTGTAGCAAAACTCGTATTTAAAAACGTGGAGCAAACCCTCCCTGTTAAGTGACACCATATTGCTAACCACATATTTTTTACAATAAGATTCTCCCTCTCCTCAGGTAATTTCAAATTAATGCACTAGTGTCTCAACCAGTTACTTTAATTTAGGTAGAAGTACCAGGGAAGGGGGGGCGGGGGGAAGATAAAAATGCAATTTTTAATATTTAACACCACAGTTAAATTGCAGTGGTGTTCAGTGTACTGCAGTTTTTACTGTCCCCCTCACCACCAACGCTCCCGTCTGAACAGTTATACAGCATTTGCATGGCATTAATCCAAGTTTGAGAAGGAAAACAAACAAAACAGTTAATGTATTTTGACTCGGGAAGCATTGAGCTCTGCCAAATTTATTCTTTACCCCTTATGGTTGCCAAAACAGCTTCAAAAGTTCAAACCAAGGGCTGAGATGAAGTCACTGAAATCGTGTTCTTCCAAAATGTAAACTACTCAATTCCCTTTATTCAAGATCAGGTTTTGGCCTTTGTTTGTTTGTTTATTTTTATTTTCTGTTTTTCAGTCTGCCATGCAATATGCTAAAACCCCATAGCTTTATATTTAATACTTTTGCTTGCTGTCTCCCTTTCCAGAAGGCAAAGAAAGCCTGTACTTGCCTCACGCCACAAAGCTGTCACTACAGGGGTGAGTTAATTGGATCTCCACAACTGTTTTATGTAGCTTGGTAGCACAAGGCAGGAGAAACAGATGTAAAATTCAGCTTGTTGAGAGGAAGAAATGAAGGCATGGTCAAAAGCACTGAGCTTTGAAGAGCAATGCAGAAGCTAAATCACCATCAGCCTTCTGCTACCACGTTCCTTTTCTGACAGAATCCTTCACACACAGCCAAGATGGGGATTCAGAACAGAACCCTTGACCAGGACAGTGTAAGCAATACTCCAGCACAAGAAGGGTCTGGGACCCCCATTCGTGAAAAACTACAGCTTCAAAACTCAGCAGACTATTTTGAAGAACATTTTGCGCTATGAGCCGTAAGTACACGCTCTTACAAGAGAGAACAATACAAAAATGAGAGTTGGTTAAGGGTGAAAGTTGTCGATGGTGCTGAATGTAAGGGGATACTGCTGAAACATCTGCTCCTATTGTACAGTAAGGTCTCCAATAATAAACAGCCATGAATGCGAAAACAGGGTCTGCCATATAAGCTGCAGATCCATTTTGGCAAATGTGACTTTGGTGGCCATGCTGATTTGCCTAGCTTTAAGAGTCCTAAGAACTGAAATATATTTGGTTTCTGCTAAAACCCAGCAGTCATAACCAGTCTCGTCCTATAGGCTGTATGACCAGTGCACAGCCAAAAATACTGGTTTTATCAACCTTGAAGACTAACTGAAGGTTCTAATGTCTGTAAGCCCTGTTAAGAAAAAAAAAAAAAAATTGCTAAGGCAAGCACTATCCAAGCCCTGGGAAACAGTCAACAGAAGTCAGAACTATCTTTTCCTGGAGTTTCCCTTTAGAAATACGCATCTTTATCCCATTTTTTCCCCAGAAAAAAACACTTTTAGAAATAACTGTCATATTCAGCTGATAAAGGTGTTAAAGTTGATTTTGAAACAGAATAGAAGGCTAAATAATGAAGGACTCATGTTTTCAGGGCAAAGATTCAGGAATATAAATGAGAGAATATTTATACCATTATTCACACTTTAGCAAGTCCGTGAACTTACATAAGGAGCGTAAACAGAAAGTCAAGGTGGAGTCTGCAAGTCTGCCACAACACTACTAAGTATTCTCTTGTTATTACACAAGATGAAAGTTATTTAGAAAGACAAACCCACAAGGAAAAAAAACCAAAAACAAACAAACAAAAACAAACATAGAGAATTTTTGGTTTCATAAGCGCAAGTTTTATCTCAAACTATATCCTGCTTGCATGCGTCATTGGATAGTGCAAAGCAGCCTCCAAAATCAAGTGGTCTCTTACTGAAGTAAGTGCAAAAAAATTGATAGTGCTTTTCTGGTGATAAATAATACATATCACTAGAACTATTCTTTATGTTATATACATACACACGCAATTTCCTTCTTTTTAACCTCTTCCTCATTATATATACTTACAACACTGATTTTTAGATAAAGTTTACTGATGTATGAGTGTTACTGAATGGTCATCTGAAAGCAACTTCAGCACATGCACACAAGAAAAAAAAATCAGGTCCATTGATTTCTCTAATATATGCTAAGATGTGAAACATATCATTAACCACAATATTTTGTGTCATTGCATTAATTCAAAGTAACTATTAATTAGAATGTGGTCTACAGCCTTCAGTTTTTGTCCTGCACTTTCTTTCACTTAAAACAACTGATGGAGACAGACAGCTTGCTTTTAGTTAAAACGTTCCTTCAGCTATTTTTTGAACTACTGAAAAAAACTTCCTCTTGTCCAAAAATACACTATGATACTCATGAAATTTAAACAAGACCCCAGAACAGATTTTGTTGCAATTCAGCATTTTGCACAGTTAACAAAACAGTGGTCAATTCAAGGCACATAAGCACAAAGGTACTCTGAACATTTGGTCTCAGTGTTTCCGAGATAATGAAACACCTCTATGGACTAATTTTTTCTGCCTCACTGGACTAAGTGTGCATGGTGCAATGTCTTAAGAGGCAGGTCTTTTCATACTACCTACCTTGCCTCTACAACATAATACCATCTTTGAAAAAGATGTAGCAGAATGGTATCAGCTTTGTTGAACTACCACTGATTTGGTCTACATTAGCCCAACATGATGTTAAGTGCAGTAGCCAATGAGCAAACACAGAGCCTGCTCTGCTACTTCTCCTGAGCATAAAGCACATGAGTAAGAGTACCTATTTCATAAGTCACCCTAGCATGACTTGCCGGATATCAAAAATCAGGATCTTTATGTTTCAAAGGTAAGACCCCTTAATTTTTCTCTCATCTGCAGGTCTTCACACAATGAGATCTGTGACGTATTCACTTTGGCAACCACATTTGCACCATTTTTGATGGTACAATTACCAAACTTTTCTTTCAACATATGGAAGGGAGAGAAATTAAGAGATGAAGCAATATTTTAGATTAAAATGATGGAAAATTAGTAATTATACTCTCTCTTTCAATGCTGCATTTAGATGATAAACAAATTAATTGCTTACCTCCTTGAATTCCTCGGACTGTAGCAGTTTTACCAGCATTATCAAGACCCACCATTATTAGTGTCACCTTCCTCCATAAGGAGAAGAAAAAAAAAAAAGTCAAATCTTTTTTCCTCTAGCTAGACATCACTTAAGTTTTTTTAATACAGGCATAGCAAATTTACCACAAAGTAGTAGAAAGAATAGGTATCAAAATACCAATTAATAGGCATTGTTACAATTGTGGATTTAGTGTTCAATATGTCAAACCATCTAATCAGACAGAACAGCAGAACAAGGTATGAAATGAGAAGTCTAATATTGTGCTGTAAGTTTCACATGAGAAAATGATTGTGCTTTCAACTTGTATTTGCCTGCTGAAATTTAATTTCATGGTACTGTAAATTTTATCCTTTTTTTTGGTATGGTCACGGTCTCTTTAACAATTTCTGTAATTTAATTTCTATTCCCCTGTATTTTTACCATCTCTCTGCCTCAAAGTTGTGCCTATACCAGAAATTTATTTCTGACTCAACCAGGGCATCTGAACAACACTATGCAATATACAACACTTCTGTAGACAGCATCTGATGCTGTAAATAAAGGTACGATAAGTACCAGTGCCGCTTGTTTCAAGCAGGAGCAATCTAGACTGCAAATGTGTAAACAAGTGGTGTTGAGTACGTACAATATACCAGCAAACTGGTATGCAGGTTAGAATTTATACCAGGACAGGATTTTAAGCAAAGCAATAGGAAAAACATTTCTTTGTGTATACCTCAATTGTTCCTTCTATTTACAAAGACTCAGAGGAGTCAAAGGAATTTGCTCAATTTTATGCCCCTTTAAGTGAAGGAATACTAAAAACATTGTTATTTCCAGTCTTAAAACTATAATAGCCTTCCAACTCAAACCATTCTATGATTCTAGCATCACCTCATAATGCTCAACTTCAGGAAACAGTATGCGAAGGACAATATTTTGAACTTTATACTTTCCTGAAGAAACAAAGTACCTGAATTAGAGATGATTAATATTTCATTTTTAATGATGGATTTTTCATTTAAATATTTCATTTAAAACGATGGATTTTTTTCTTGGAATTGAAAAACAATTTTATATAGCAAATAAAGTAAACCGTAGGTGAGAGGACATGAAATACAGTTTGGAAAGGTCAGCACAAAAACTTAAGATACTTTCATGTGTTTACCTGACAGGTTCCTGCCACCGTTTTAACCAGCTGCAGCAATTGGCCATTAGACTGAACATCCCTCTTCACTAGCCATCCAGAGCCATGAAAGCTACAGAAACAATGTGGACAGGCCAGAACAACCCAAGAAGACTGGGAGAGAGACTGCAGAGGCCCAGATGTTGTCTTGTCACTGCTAGCAAGAAAAAAGAAAAAAAAGAAAAGAAAAGAAATTAAACCCATTGTTAGCCCCTATGTATACCCAAGGCAAGCCGTTTCCCTAGCAGGAGCCTGTGTATTCAGTGTGTCATGGGGCTGACTGAATATGACAGTCTCATTACATCTTTCACTTTTCCACCTTCTCACACTTCATCTGCCCCCATTTTACATATCTGGGCAGTAACGACACAGTATTCATAAAAAATAATATTGCAAGACCACTGCACATAAGGAAACCTGCAAGTTAGAGCAGTAAGACACATCAAGCTATGATATTCCACTGCTTGTCTTGCTAACACATCCCACAGCTCTGCTGACTGACAGAAAATAAGGACCAATTTCAAGCATGAGTAAGACTTGTAAGAACATAACAGGATAAGACATCAAAAGCAAACAAAGAATGTCCTACCTGTTAATTATATTCATTTAACTGTCAATTTCTTTCACACAGAAAGATCCCACAACAAGGAAACTGGGTTCTCTAGTGAGTACTTTGAGGAACTGGCAACTTAATATCTAGTAATTGTCACTAAATAGAAGTATCAAGTACTTCCATCATTTTACAATCCCAGTTCCTACTCTTCAAGCAGGAGAAACAGAGAATATTACTCTTTCTGATGTTGCTCTGTAGAACAAGCAATGGAGAATAACTCTGTGATCACGTGCATGTTTATTTCTTTGTATGCACACTTATCTATGAAACAGTAAAGCTTACACAAACCATGCAGTCAAGTGCACAAAGACGAAAAAGCTTTAAAACTTCCTTAGTTATTCAGCTACAAAAATCCTACTGCGAACAACAGTAGTTGCCCAGGTAAAGGCCTTTCACTGGCAATCGTTGGGCAATTTTACTTTCATGAGTTCAAATCCGCAACCTCCCTTGTAGGATGATGTTCCAAGTCTGACCGCTATTTTCTTCACAGCAGTCTGTATGATGCTGTGATTTGTATTTTTGGCTAAAACACTGCTGATAACACACACATATTTTGGCTATTGCTGGACAGTGCTTGCACACCATGGAGGCCTTCTTTCCCACTCTGTCCTGCCCCTCTGTCTCCCCAGTCAGGTGGGCAAGAGGTTGGGAGGAAACACAGCCAGGACAGCTGCCTCAGTTGGCTAGAGAGATATTCTATACCATATGATGTCATGCTCAGCAAAAGACAGCTCAGGGAAATGAGGAGGTATAGGGAACATTCATGGGTTTTGCGTTTGTCTTCCCAAGCAACCGTTAAGCATGGTGAGGCCCTGCTCTCCAGAAAGTGGCTGAACATCTGCCCACTGATGGGCAGTAGTGATCGAATTCCTCTTTTTGCTCTGCTTGAGCATGCAGCTTTTGCTTTCCTCATTAAACTGCCATTATCTCTATCTGCAAGTCTTTTCACCTTCCTTCTATCTTCCCATCCAGCAAGTCACTGGGTGCAACTTTAGCTGTTTGCCAGGGTCAACACACCACAGTCCTTCTTGGTGTCCAGCGTGGGGGTCAAGATGATGACAGCTTTGATCTGAGCACATTATAGTTGTTAATGGGCAGGCTCCTGTTCTGGTCACCGAGCTTGCTTACTTTACTGCATATTAGAGTCCAGTGCTTGTTAGTGGCTGGGAAAGGCAGTGTGGGATGCTCCTCACTTGGGAAAAGGCAAAGCCATTTGTGGGATTATCTTTGCTCAAGGAGCCAAGTGCACTTGGTGGTCATGTGGAAGGATGGGGAAATCCAGTGCGTACCTCAAGGAGATTTAAACCTGGGGGGAAATAACCCTTGATTTGAGTTGTACATTACAGGAACAGTATAGCAGGAACCACTTGAACCAAAGGAGGATGAGCCTTGTGAGGAACCAGGGGAGTGTAGTGGTGACTCAACCCAAGTGGGTATTGACACCCAATTATCTGACATGCCACTTCCCCTGCCCTGAATGACTACCTCCAGAGATGGGGTCCAAGTCATCAACTGTTCTTATTTGGGGAAGGAGCATGGAATTTGGGGTGGGAGGCTACAGAATACGGAAAAATATCCATGCATATGTCATGGGACAGGGGATGGCAGTTAATGACACAGCAATCTCTCCTCCAGAGATTATCACAACCCTTGCAGAAGGAATGTCCACTATCACCTCAGCTCATAGGCTCATACCAGCTTAGTTTCCATTTTGATCAGCAGCTTCAGCTAAAAACCCAACTGGATTCATATCAGAGCAGCTGAGAGGTAAACAGATATTCCCTACTACTAACTTGCCTCCATGAGCAGATCAACTGAGAATAGCGACACTTTGAATTACAGTAACAAGTTTCCTAAAGTTTGTTTCTCAATATTCCTTTTTTTAAAAAAAGAAAAAAATCAAAACAAACCCAACAAAATTTCTGTCATATTTTAAATAACTAACCTCAAACTAAGGGTAATTTCAAATGATGCAGAAAAGTGAATAATTAAATATAATAACTTTCCAAAGTTGTCATCTTCCCAACCTAGATCAATGAAAGTGGAAAAAAAAAATGAGGCATTATTCGTAACAAATATATATTGTCCCTAATCAACTATGATGGTTTAGAAAATTTATACAGGTAGGAACTGAGAACAACTCCTGATCTTACGAAGCTGCTATATTCAAGGATGCTTTTGTGTAGATCTGCCATCATTCAATGTCAGAAACAGGTCAAATTTCTTCCACAGCAGAGACAACAGATAGTCTTCAAATATTTATACTCCCTTATACAAGAGCACCTGAGAATAGCTTCTCCACAGGACAGCTTAGCATGTGAAGAACAGGTAAGTTCCTAAAAAGGCCAGCAAGATGATTACAATTATTACAAGTATTAACATCAGGCTCTGAAGAATCCAAAATCCAAAAAACCTTAAAAAAACCTTACACACAATGGAGTATGGTGCCTCAACCCACAAGCAAGTACATACAAAGCTAACTTTGAGAACACGGCTACACAAATTTTCAGCTAGTTCTGCTGAAAAGCAAAATGTAACAGCTCAACGAATAAAAGTACAACATTTTCAGTGCCTAAGCATCATCACAGAACAATTCCCCTCCCGTATTATACAGATTGTCTAGCTTTGCAAATTGTCACAAAATTGCTCTAAAGCACAGGTATGGCACATAGCATTCAAATGGGATTCATGAGACGAAGAAAACTTGTTAAAGACTGAAGAGCAGAGGACAACTATGTCATAGCAGCGGAATCTTGTCTAAATAAAAAACCCAAAAGGGGGGGTGTGGGGGTGGGGAGGGAGGAATGACAAATAAGATAAAAAATTTCCAAAACATGCCACTACAGGAAGAAAGGGCATTCAACACCGCTGAGAAAATTGAGGCAGGGAAGCAAATCACATTGTGTTATGCTATTCTGGAGAGACCGCATTTCTTGAACTAGCAACAGACATCTCTGAAATACGTATGGAACATACTACATGTATCTCATATGTTGCATTAACAACATTCAGAAGTTGTTCCAGATATTATACCTGTCAGTTTGAACTCTTTATGCCCTCAAGCTCAGAAATATGTAAAACTCTGTAGTTAAGCTGGTATATCATTTAGCTAGCAGGTCAACAGAAGTGTAAAGGACTAAGAATGTCAAAGATCCCATTTTTGGGTAAGAGAACAGAAGTGTACTACAGAGACAAAGAAAAACATGACAGATAACTGCATTAACTCTTTACACACTAGATTTAGATCAAGAGCTACTTAGAAGCCTGCATGTTACGTGATCCAAAGTACTGGGTACCCGCAAGTTCAACATCCAAAGTCATCTGATGAATAAGTTTATCTACTTCCATATCAAAGCACAAAACAAGCATCTTTTACACATTTCACTGTCAGAGTTTACATTAAATGTTCTGCCTTTGGTAGAGGGTTCTATGGTAGACAATTTTTTCAGTCCTATCAAGCTCTCACTTTCTCTAAAACATAATTAAGCAAACCATTTAAATCTGACCCTCCTCATAAAGTTAAATAATTAAACTTCCTACTGTGATGCTCTTTGCCCGAGCTGTTTGAAGTAATTATAAGAACACAGTATTTTAGTTATATTGCATTATATTTTGAACAGCAAACCAAGCAATTGAGCAGTGAAGGAGGTATATTCAGCTAAAATCTGAACACCATCCTCTCTGCCAAAATCGTAGTGTATTTAACAGGTGTGTGAAGTGCAAGCAAGAACTGTAACGTCTTGAAAGACTGAAGCATACACCTATTTGTGAGAAATAAGCTCTAGGACCATCAGTTCTTCTGTAAAGAAAAATTACTACAAGACTAGCATTTGTGAGTGTGTGCACTTTGCAGTCACATTCTCACCCTTCTTGAGTTTCCAAAAAGAAGAAGTCCTAAAATCTAGACTTTGTCTCAGGCATGTTTTCTCTGCTTCTCTCTTCCACTCTGGGAGTATGGCTTTTGTTTTATAAAATCAACATTTCAGAAAAAAATCTACTCTCTGTTGCTCAACGACTTACAAACTGGCAGCCAAACACCACAGTCCGAGGCTGCCATTGCGGACACACACCGACATCTTTTACGTGCTGACACTGGAGCGGAGCTGGAACAAACTCGACTCGAGCTCCGC